CAGTGGATTTACCCCGGCTTCATTTGTCTGAGTGAGTGTCATTGGTTGTAAATAATTTACGGCGCGATCAACACAACTCGCTTAATTGGGTTCAGCAGGATACAATGCCCCAGCACGGGGTCGCGAACGCTCAATGAAATAGTTTTCCAGCACAGGAATCGAACTCAATCCGGCTGCGTTTTGTTTTTTAAGTAAGAGTTTTACGGCACTTGCAACACAATATGGTCATTTAGTTTTAGTTTTAGTAGGAGTTTAACGGCACTTGCAACACAATATGGTCATATATAAGTGCCTAAGATTAGAGGTGTTACAAGTAAGAGAGTAACAAACACAAAGAAGAAGGACGATAGGTGTTTGATAGGAAAGAAGGGGTAAACCACACCAGAGCACCCACCAACCACCCACTCTTCTGCGTATAACGACGCGAAGAGCCTAACCGCTACACCACAGGCACAGGGCTGAGTCAATGAGTGAGTGGGTGGTCGGCGGGTGCTCTGGTGTGATTTGCTCCCTCTTTCCTATCAATCATCTATCGTCCTTATCTCTCTTTCTTTTCAATCAAACATCTATCGTCCTCATCTCTCCTCCTTCTTTCCTATCAAACACCTGTTGTCCTCCTCTCTCTTCCCTCTTTCACTTCAAACATCCATCGTCTTTATCTTTCCTCTTTCTTTCCTATCAAACATCTATTCGCCATTGTCTCTCCTTTTTTTTCTTATCAAACATCTATCGTCCTCGTCACTTCAGTCGGTGGTTGGCAGGTGCTCTGGTGTGGTTTGCTTCTTCTTTCCTATCAAACATCTATCGTCCTTATCTCCCCTTCTTTTTTTATGTTTATTACTCTCTTGTAACACCTCTAATCTTCTAACGCTCATATGACCTTATGCAGTTGCGAGCGCCGTAAAACCTCTATTAAAACTTTTAAAAACTCCTTCCTTCATATCACATACATTATATCGTTCTTATCTCTCCTCCTTTTCCCAGTCAAATATCTATGATCCATCCTTATTTCTCCTTTTTTTTTATCAAACATCTATCAAATAATTCGTTGTTTGAGTGCAGCTTATAAGTACAACCAACATTCTTAGCTGTGTATAACTTGTAGTCACAACCACAATAAAGGGTTGCGCATTACTTCTAGAGCTACAATTAAAAAAACAAAAACAATTCTTTTCGCGTGGTCTCAAGATCACTGACAGTGACAGTTTACTGATGTTTCAAGGGTCTCGTGGTGCGCACTGGATATATATTTTTTAAAAAAAGTTTTAGTAAGTGTTTTACGGCACTCGCAACTGCATAAGGTCATATGAGCGCCAGAAGATTAGAGGTGTTACA